ATACAACCTTGAGCCATTCCGTGGGTTGTCTACCTCTCTTTTTGTTTGCCCACTTCGCCTCCCATACAATTCTCGGCAACCTCTCCTCTCCCATCCCGCACATGCGATACTGCCAGGTCAGCTTCCTCGCGTCTCTTCCCGACCGTAGGGATTGGATCCCCAATTCTGCCCTGACGGCTGCATTACTTGTGCGCTTGGAGCATCCTAGGATGATTTTCGCTGCTTTCATCTGGGCCGCCTCGAGTCCTTTCACTGCCTTCTTGTTTCCTTCCCATACTTCTCCGGCGTACTCTAGCGGCGGTACGATTACGCTCTTCAAAACCGTCAATTTGATGCGTGTATCGAGGTGCCGGTTTGCGAGTATTGGGTGCAGCTTCCCTGCTCGTGCTTTGCCCTTTTCCGCTACCTTGGACATGTGTGCATTCCACGAGCAGTCTTTTGCGATCTCTACTCCAAGGTATGTGTACTGGTCCACTACTGCAATCTCCTCGATCCCCCACTTCCATCTATGTTCAAGTGGTTCCTCCTTGTTCTCGTTGCATACCATGACGGCACTCTTCTTAATGTTGGCAGACAACCTCCACTTGCCAGTAAACTTCTTCGCCGCGTCAATTTGCAATTGCAGTCCGTCAGGGGTGTCCGACGTGCCGACAAAATCATCCGCAAACAGCATTCCTGGAACCGACGTTTCCGTGTCCCCTACTTCATAACTCCCTTCCGGACTGCCTCTACGACTTCCAACAGATCGTTGATGAACACGTGGAACAAAAAAGGCACCGGGGGGTGAAAAAAACAAACAGTTTAAAATAACGACATGGTAGAGTTGTTTTTCCGCCCCGGGGTCGGAAGGATGGCACCGGGTGCCATCTGTCCGACCTCAAATCCAAACTTGAATGCTTGGTAACTGGGCCCAGGCCACGTTTTGAGCTGCTGCGCTGTTCTGAGGGACCTTGACAAATTGTACTTGCTGCATCTGCTGTGTGTGTGTCCTGTACCGATCGATACATCATGCTTCTGCTTGCACACTGGTTCCGACATGCCTACTACTGTGTGTGGTGGTATGGAGTACCATCGTGATAGTTGAGAGATGACCCCGTGGTGTCTTGAAAAATGTAACAAGAAAAGATGTATTTGAATGTCCGCGCCGGGGTCGAAGAGATGGCACCGGTCGGAGAGTTGACAATGGGGTGCGAAAGAAAAACAAGAAAGAAACATCGGAAGTTTCAATCGCACCCTGTGACATCTCCCGCACCCTTACGGAATTCTTGATGGCCAAAGTCTTGAGTGGGAGCACCACCAGCCAGTCATATGTATGCCCACGAAACAACCTGTCGCATGCATAAATGTATGATGGAAAAATATGATAAGAGCATCGAGGGCCACACGATGTGTGCGCTTATGCTGCTGATCCTTTGTCGGCGAAAGGTTTGCGTTTGGGCTCCTGTAGCTTCGTGTTGGAAGGGCTTCCTCATTGGTGCCACAATAGCCCGCGGCTTCTGTCCTCATTTTGATTGAAAGGGTAGGTGAACGAGAGAGAGAGAGAGAGAGAGAGAGAGAGAGAGAGAGAGAGAGAGAGAGAGAGA